TTTTTCAATTTCACTGTTAACCCTAGCTTATATTTGTATGAAATCAAGAAGAAACAGTGGAAAGACGGAAAGGCTGGGAAACTTTTAGATCACTTAGATTAACATAAACAACTGAAAATGCACTGCATTTTGGGCGCAAAAAATTCGGGGAAAAAAGTAAATCGAAAAAATAGGTACGAAAAAGATACTGACAGCAGTGATGGTAACGTTCGTGTCACTGAGGACATCCACAGCAATCCGGGTAAATCCATTTTTTGACATACAAGGATGACTTGGCAGAACTCTTTTGTCGCCACTGCAAAGAAATAGAAATACCGATGAGAACTTAGAGAGATTGAGGAAAAGAGGAACAAATGGCAAAATTACGATATGTGAAGAAACCGACATTACTGGTGCACTGGATGAAACAAGTATATTAACGTGAATGTATAAAGATTGCAATTTTTTTCATTCCAAGATTGCGTAGATGAGAAAAAAGTGGGATTTATCAAAGTAATCGAATCATTCAAAAATTCTATCCCTTTGTCGCATCATGACTCCCTCCTAGGCTGGTTGTGCAATGGCGCAAAAGCGGCCTATATAAGACCGTCGTGTCAGTATTGTAAAGTATTGCCGACCTAGTGTGGGGTTGCGGAATTGTGTAGGCGCCCCAGACACGACGCACAAGGGACGTGGACCCCGTTATTACTCCCTGAATTTCAGACGAGGAAACGCCTGGCCAGTAAATCCAATACCTTCAGTAAAATACTTGCTACAAATTTTTGTTTTCTAGACACCTCACGACCATGCACTATCAAACGGGGGAAGTTTTTTTCTCCGATAAATTATTGAAAGATGATTTTTGGGCAAGTCAAGTGGGGGTTAAAAAACGTTAAAAACTCGGGGGAGAAGAAAATGTTCGAATACAAAGAGATCTTTTGCTACTCTGAGAAATCTCCAAAAAATTGGAATTTTCAAAATGCTTGCAGAAATTTAAAAAAAGGGAAACTTTTCCTGCTAAAATTAATTTAAAAAAAAGGCTTACGATGTATCTGAGAAGAATAACACATCGGAGAAGAATCGTAATATTTCCGGTTTTAACGATGGATTTTTGAGCGATTCCAGTGATGGCCACTTTTCCTGGTTGATGTGTGCCATTGCTATCCAGGCGCGTGAAGTTAGGACAATGAGCCTGAAGGAGGATTATCCATTTCAAGGATTACACTTTGAAGGATTTTATTCAACGACGATACTTCGTTTGGCA